AAAAAACCAGGAAGTCTCTACAGACACATATTTGAATGTCTGACAGCAGAAGCCATGGAATGAGAAGAATTTATTTTGAGGAAATCTCAAGGCTCAGAAAGCTTGAAACTCCCAGGAACTGTGGCAGACAAAAGTGTCCAACCATCATTTTGAGTGGGGACTTTGGTTGGCGTGTGACAAACTTGAACCTCTTTCTCTGACTTTCCCTTTTGCTCTCAACAAGATTTAGAAGCAACAGCTGAGTCCCACTGCCGCCAGCATAGACTTCTGGGTATCTTTTTGAGACAGGATCTTACAACTTGGCATAGGCTGGCCTGGAGCTTGCGAGTCTTCTGCCTCAGTCTCCCAGGTGCTGAGATTATAGACACAAATGGCTGTAAAACAACACCTGGACCAAGAAAAGTGTGTCATTAGCCATGACATTAGCCATTACAGGCTTTTCTAAGCCCAGCTTGTAAGTCCTGCCTTGAATTTTAGAACAGGAATGAAAAAGAGGCTAATTTCAGGCTACTTCTGATTTCAATAAGGCACTTGCTTGGATAAGAACTTCTTAGTTCCATAAGAACTCATGGAAAAGGCACTCTACACATGGAGAATGAAGACGTGAAAAGCTGTAGGAAGGAAAATATGTCAGGACTTCAATAAAGGACCACTTTTACAGAACCATGACATACACTAAGAATGCATTAATACTGTCCAAACTGGACTACTACTTAGTTTCGTAAATAATTACTCTCTGTTTATTATCTCACTATATAGTCCTGCATGGTCTGAAACTCACTCTGCAGACCAGGCCATCCTCAAGTCCACAAAGATCCACTTGCCTCTGCCTCCTTAGTTCAGGATTTAAAAGTGAGCACAACCACACCAGGCCAGGACCAAAGTTTCACTGTGGCCCAGCGATTCCACTTCATTCTGCCTGTGGCTTCCCTTGTGCTGCATTGTGGGGCTGAGTCATTACAATTGATGATGAAACCTTAAGATATTGAAATATTATCTGGCTCTTTACGTGAAAGAATTTGCCCAGTCAAGATGTTTATCATTCCTTGCAGTGTCTTTGGGTTAAGAATTAAAGGTAAACATCATTAAATCTATTTACTAACTCTGGAGTTGTCGTGGGAATCACTCCATCCTCCGGAAAGGCTGTGGCTTGTCTGCATCCCTAATAGCAAGTAGCTTTGCCTGCTGAACTTGGCCTGTAATTAACAAATGCATTCAACCTTGGCAGTGACATGATGACTAAAGCTCATAACTCAGCAGCCTTACTCTAGTTGAGGAGAAAATAAGGCGTGTAGCATGCTGTTTTCCATCCCCTGGATGTAGCCTTTATTTAACAATCAATGCCATTGTGTCCCTTTCCAGAGTAATTTTTCCCTGTCAAGACCAAAAAGCCTGAATGAGGGAGTCACTCCTAAGTCTGTATAATATTTCTAAGACATTTTTTGTAATTTTATTTTATGCATATGGGTGTTTTGTCTGCATGCATGTCTGCGCACCACTTGCATGTCTGGGGTCCATAGAAGTCAGAAGGAGGCATTGGGTCCCTTGGAACTGTGGATGGTGAGAGCTGCCATGTGGGTGCTTAGAACTGAACTTGTGTCCTCTGAGAGAGCAGCCAGTGCTCTTAACCACTGAGCCATCTCTCCAGTCCCCTTTATGTTCTTTTTTAAATAGACTCTTTAAGTAGCGTCTAAGAAAAAAAAGAATTAACTGGTTCTTAAGAAATAAAAAAAAAAAAGCTTTTCTTCTAACTTAAGCTTGTAACCAAAAGTTTGAATGACTGTACTTGGTAGGGATTTCTAGCAATTCACAACAAGGTACACATTTCATAAGGAAAAAGTTGATAAACTCAAGAGGAATACAAGCAGCCCAAACCTTCAAGCAAAAATAACCTCCAAGTATGTAATTTTGCTTAGCGAAGGTGATGCTCCCACTTACAGAAAATTGAAGAAAAATAAAGTGATCCCTGAACTTGTGACTCGGGATTAAGGTGGAATAGACATCCCCTATTTGTCAGGCCAAGTACAGCCAGACCAAGTACAGCCACAGCACCAAGTACAGCCACACCAAATAGAACTACATAACCAAGTACAGTACATCACCAAGTACAACCATACCAAGTACAGTCATACCAAGTACAACTACATAACCAGGTACAGCTAGACCAAATATAGCCGCATCACCAAGTACAGCCTCACCAAGTGCGGCCACACTAAGTACAGCACTGAGCACTGCACATAAAGCAAGCCTAAGGAGACACTGAATGATAATAAGATACTGAGGTTTGAAGAATAGTACAAGGTTGTCGGTGAAGTAAGGTCCACTGCCCACCTAGTGGTAGTGAGCAGAATTTGCCTTCACTTGGTAAAGCAGTGTCTAAAGCAATCTGTGTACAGCCTCACGCTCAATAACCCCAGCATATAAGCGAAGAGCTGTCACCTAAGCAGGAGCAAGGACAACCCAAGATCAGATGAGAAAAAAAGACCGAAGATGGCACCAACAAGATGACCAAAATGTGAGAACCGTTCACCCACAACCTTACAATAGCCACCCAGACAATGCTTGTGTGAGTAGAATCTCAGCTGAAAGAAATTATAAAACAAAATGTCTCAGAAAAGAAAACATATAAAGAGGAACCCATCAAACACTTTAGAAGTGAAAAAAAAATAGCAACCCAAACTGGCACTTCAGCAGACAGGCTCAATAGCAAAATGTAGAAACAACTCAGCGAGAGGAGAAGATTTTACAGGACTTGATGTTTCTATACATCATCAATGTGTCTTTCTTGATGGGTTCATAATTACACACACCATACAATGTCTCAGAACTGCATGCATCATTGTCTATGAGGAGGTATGACTTCCCCTGGACATGGAAACTACTAGCACCTTGATCTTAGAGTTCCTCTTGGTGGCTTTTTGACGTTTAAAAGCCACCTAGGGCATGGTCCTTTTCTTTCCTTTGTTGAACAACAACACAAATGAACTAATATATAAATGGTACTTACTGGAAGGAACAGGATGAAAGATATCCAGGTCTTGTATTCCTACTGTAACCTTCTAGAAAACAATAATTAGCTTCAAATTTTTAGTGGGAGCTGCATAGACTTCTAAAGGGGTGACCCTAACACTCACACAGAGGCTCACAACAACCTGTAACATTGGTTCTCATGGGTCTGATTCCTCTTCTGAGCCACATGGGTACCACACATACATGATGTACAGATGTACATGCAGGAAAAACATAAACATAAAATAGAGCATTTTAAAAACTCATGATGAAGGTTTTTTTTTTTATTAATGGCTGCAGGTGGTACCACATTTTTATATTACATGATAAGTTTCTGGAGATGGAGAGTGGCAGTTGTGCAACCTTGTGAGTAAGCATTCTTACTGTCACTGAACTGCACACTTAAATGGTGAAAATAGTAAGATTCATGCGATATATAGTTTTACTACAAAAAAAAGGAAAGCTGGTAAAGTGTCTTCCAAGTGCGCACCAAGTCCCGGCTTTTAGCCCACAGCAGGCTTTCTTGGTGGCATGTGCCTGCTATCCCGGCATTTGTGAGTCACAAGTTCAAGGTTGTCCTTGACAACATAGTGAGTTAGAGGTCAACCTAGAGGAGAAGGAAGAGAAGGAGGTGGAGGGGAAAAAGGAGGAGAAAAAATGAGTAGGAAAAGAGAGGAGGCTAAGCTAGCAAAATGGCATTTTCCCAAGCTTATCAGATCCAATCTCCTAGAAAACACAAAATGAATCCAGGGCAGGGAACCACTTAGCACGGGAAATCGGCTCAATTGGGTATACATTTCGTTAAAGATTTACTCTATTTAATTATGGGTGTGTGTGTGTGGTAATGTGAACATGAATGAAGCCTGAAGCACTGATTGTCCTGGAGTCACAGGCACTTGTGAGCTGCCAGGAGTGAGTGCTGGGAATCGAACTGGGGTCCTCTGTGAGAGCAGTCTGTGGTCTTCATGACTGAGCCACCTCTCCAGCCCTATTCCATCCTCCTACATATCGATTTAGCATTTGCTGTTTCTGGAGCCATCTGGTGATGAGGTGAAAGATCAGCGGAGTCAGGAAGTTTAAAGTAGTATATTGACATGACCTTTGGTAAGAAATGGCTTTGGTCTATGATCAGATTCTAGAATATCTGCCTGAAAAAAGAAATGGTATCTTTTAAACATCCCTGTGGGACCTTATTCAAATAAAAGAATCTGCATAAAAGGACATTGTCGTGGGAATTCTTTCCACCAATAGCTTTGGGGTACCAGCCTTAGGGTGTGGCCTGGGATGCTACTTGAGGACTGAAACCCCTGGAGGAGGAAGTTTGCTCTCTCTTGCTCTAGCTGGTGCATGTGTGGTCCCACACCAAGCAGCTGCTGGATCAGTGGTGGCTTTTGCTTTGTTTTGTATTTGTGAGTTTTGTATTTCCATTGCCTCCCCTTAGTAAATACCTTTTTGTTACCTCTGTGAGTTCACACATCAGGAAATAGTCCCTACGCAAGTTCAGCCTCAAGAGAGTTTGGAGCGCAGCAGTCATCAAAGCTCGCTCTTAAACTTGATCCACTCCAGTTTGTCCAATCCATATAAGCTTGTGATTTGGGGATACTGTTTGAGCCTTTAAAATGCATGCTGTCGATTCTGTTCAAATCCAGTCATGTTTCCAATGTAGCATGCTTGTACTTATATGAATTCTAAAAGATAGCAAAAACATGGGTTCCTCAATGGCCAAGTGATTGGTGGAAGGTTTCCCTCAACCTTTTTATAATTATGGAAAAATCAAGAGGATATGAATGTTTGATTGAGTTCCTTTGATTCATTTTTCCTGTAAAATGAAAATCTTCATAATTTCCAGGCAAACTGTCTGTGCCACCATTCACAAGTCATAATTCAAACGATACCATCAACCAAAACACCCCTTTTATTTTATTGCCATGCCTTCTCATTCCAGAATAGATGTTAGGTAGCTGTGAATAACACAGGTGCTGGCATGTAGTGGGTGTCACCCCAGGGCTGGCCAGGACTGACAGTTATCACATAGAGGTTATGTTCATACTGCTGGAGCCAAAAGACCTACTTCGAAGTCAAATTCCATCACTTTCTCCTTTGTGACCCCCCCACACACACACACACACACACACACACACACACACACAAGTCCTTCATCATCTCTTAGTCTCTCCCTTGGTAAAATGGAGGAGAACTGGTCCTTTTCATCTTACCATAGACAGCTCTAACTACGACGGTGTAGGCACTTTCATGTAAGCCCCAAGGCAGAGAGCACTCAGTTAAGACAAGTATCATTAATTTAGTCTCTTTCCTTATTCATAATATATGTATTCTTCATTCAATACCCAAAGGCGTAGAGAACTTAGGCAGTTTGTCCTAAAAGGGCACGGTTGGTTTGGATCCATATATTTCTGCCCCGAGAACCTGTGGCTCTTTTACCACCAATAAGATTCTATTTATCCTATTTTATTAGGATCAGAGTGCACATAGCCATAATCCTGGGAGTTATATGGGAACTCTGATGGGCTCATTGGCACTGGCTGCAGCTTTCCCCCTCTATTTCCTCTACTCATTCTGCCTCAGGATGAGGTTTGCATGTCGGGGAGTAAATCACACCGTTGTCTAAATTTTGATTATTCTTACACAGACAGATGAAGCTTCAGGATTCCAGCAGATGAGGTCCAACCACCCTTGCTGTTACCTCTTGGGCTTTATCAACCCAAGTAAGACTGAAAAGGATCATGTGACCACTTGGCTTGAGGCATGCCCCATCAAGTCAAAGCTCTTTGGGTGCATACCAGTAATGGGCAAAACTGCTAGTGCCGCTCTGGTTGGTTGAATACAGTGTTCGACTAGGGTGACCAGTGAGACAGATGGCTGCCATGGAGACAACATCATCAACTGAGGGATATTTGCTCAGGATCATCTCCCCTTCCAGACCTCCTTTGCTAATTGAGCTTTGATTGTATCTATGTACATTACATAGGTCATGTTGTCCCAGTTGTTTCTTTAGCTAGAACATCAAGGTTACTTCCTCATTGTCATCCCCCATCTTTTTTCCTGTATTTCTTCCTCCTCCACCACTGCCAATATTATCACTATCCTCGGTACCACCGTTATCATCACCATCATCACGCTTTCCACTGTCTACCTGAAGGTGTTTCCACTTGGATGCCACCTGAATATGCCCTAAAACTTCCCTTAAAATAATTTTCCATTCAATAAGCGAGATTGAAAATCCATCCCTCCAACTCCTGTTCGGAGCAGGCAGCAATTTTTTAATGTCGCTGGTTTCCCAATAGAAGTGTATTTTCTAGAATCATGTATGATTTCTCTCCCACTCATCTCATGCTACCTGATTGAAAACCCCCATTTTACCTTTATGGCTTCGCTTGTCACCTTTGTAAATTACAGATCCAGCTCCCTGAGACACTAGTGCAGCCAGGAATTTATTGCAAACTGACATTTTTGGTGTGCCCACATGTGGCCCTATTTGTTCAGTGAAAGCTGCAGGAATGGGAATATGGATACTTGAAAGTCTCGCCAGGCTTTCATCTCTCTTGCTGGGCTGTCCTTTTGCTGACATGGACCATTATTTTCCCCTCACTCAGCCACTCCGATTTGCTTTCTGCCACCCTCCACAGTTCTCATCAGCTTGTGGCGAGCGCTGACACATCCCACATAAGTTATTTATTTTGACATTTGTGTGTGTGATACACCTAATGTGGGATGAACCAAGGAGTCAGATAACCAGTTATTTTAGACCTGAGAAACAACTTCATTATCTTGTGAAATGTGCTTTCAACACTCCATCCTAACAAGCAATGAATGGAATTGTGTAACACGATTGTGGCAATTACCTTTGGAGATGAAGACCCCCCTCCCTTGAGACTGACAGGATGCAAAGTGAGACCCTTTTTTTCTGGTAGGAGTCTGGATTCATGAAGAAGCCCAGAAATCATGCAAGGCAAACATAGGACATCTGTGAGCCCGGATGGAGTGAGATAGCCTACCCATACTTCTTCCCAGCAGATTCCCAGACCCACCTGCTTCCTGCTCAACCTGGTCCCAGCCTTGGAGACCAATCTACTTCTAATTAAAGAAACCTAAAGCTCCTCCCACCAGGAGTCCCACTATCTCTCATCAGGTCAGCCTCTGTGGGTTCTACTGTGACCATCAGCTCTGACTCTCATCCAGGTATCCATGGTGATTAAACTTTGTTCTATTTCCTTTTGCTGGTTTTGTTAAACACTGCTCAGGTGTTTGAAGGACCTCAGCTTCTAGACTGTGGCTTTTCATTTACATATTCCATATTTCATTACATGACCCTTGAGAGACTCTCCATGTAGGAACTGCTGCCACAGACTTGCCTTTATCATCTTTATCTTCTTTATCCTGTGCCCCTAAATGTAGTCAGACTTGGAGTCTGAATGTGTCTAACCCAGAGCCTCTAGAAGTTTGGCCACCACGTCAATGTACATAGGAGGAGCTCAAAAATCCCCTGTAGGTGGACTTTCCTTGGCTGGTGACTCTCAGGCATAGGCAATTTTGCTCTGCAGGATACATTTCACAAAAGCAAAATAATTTTGTTGTCATGATTGGCATCCATGGAGTACAAGTCAAGGATGCTACTACCCAGCCCAAAATGTAGAACACATACACACACACACACACACACACACACACACGCACGCACGCACGCACGCACGCACGCACGCACGCACGCACATGTACATATACAAATACATATATATATATATATATATATATGGGAAGGGAGTAAATAACAAATTTGGGAGTGAAAAAATATTTTCTTCAATCTCCACTCACACCCCCTCACACATGACTTCCCAATTTCTCTTTCTCCTCCTCATTTAAATTACCTAACAATATCAAAGACAGGCCTGTTCAACGATGGACTTGATGCCTTGTCTACTAATTTTTAGCAAGTCCCATTATTTATCACCCTCTCCCAGGGTATTTTGAAGCAGTTTGTGCCAGTGGAGTCCTTTGGGCCATGGCAGTGTAAAAAGCTAAAAATCATGTTAACTGTTTATCTTAGGATTTTTATTGCTGTGAAGAGACACCATGACCAGAGCAACTCTTCTAAGGAAACCATTCAAATGAGAAGACTCACAGTTTCAGAGGTTTGGTCCATTATCATCCTGGCAAGCTGCATGGTGGCGTGTAGGCAGATGTGGTGCTGGAGGAATAGCTAAGAGTCCTACACCCTGAAGGCAACAGGAAGTTGAAGTTCAGGAACTGGGCCACATCCTGAGCATAGGAAACCGCAAATCCCACCCCACAGTGACACACTTCCTCCAACAAGGCCACACCTCCTGATAGTGCCACTCCCCATGGGATTATGAAAGCCAGTGACATTCAAACTACCACACTGTCCTAGGACAACACATTTTAGTGAAAGGCCAGTACATATAAATCGGGATTTTTCTCTCAAACCAAGTTAATATCTTTCAGCTTTCTTCTAACAAATCTACAGACAGCCTTGTAGACCAATCTCCCATGTTAAGCATAAATAACATTTTGCCTCCCTTAGCACTGACAAGGATTCAAATGGAATTCCACTTTTAAGCTAAGACATTGGTGTGAATTGGAGGCTTGCCTTGGTGGGATTTCTGATGATAAGATGCCCATACAAAAGCAACCAGGCGGGGAAAGAGTTGGTTTTAGTTCATAGTTTCAGGTTACAGTCCATCCCAGCAGGGAAATCACAGCAGCAAGGGCTTAAGGAAGTTTGTCACATCACATCTACAACCAGAAACAGGGAACACATGCCAATGTGTTCAACTCATTTTCTCTATCCTATGCAGTCCAAGACCCCCTGACCAGAGAGTTCCACGACTCCCAGTGGGAAGGTCTTCCCAGTTCAATCCTTTGACACTAACTGCTCTAATTATGCATCTGTTCATGCAGTCATGAATTGGGTTAACATGTGATTCGGATACTAATTTCTAAGGCCTTGCTTGATAATCATGCTCCAGTACTACATTTGTGTAAGATCCCGGTAGCTAGGAAGTCTGGGGGACATGGCTGATAGTATGTGCCTGATTCACTCTTTCTAAGATCTTTAGGTCATCTGTTTTCCTATGCCAGGTGCAATTGCATAGAAGGTCCCCTGGAGGCCAGCAGTCTCAGCATGGGAAACAAAGTCCACATGGACTCCAGCCCAACTTGGTCTTCTTTTCCAACATTCCTGAATCTGTATCCGATACTTAGTAACTGTTTTTTTGTTTGTTTGTTTGTTTTTGTTTTTTACTTCCATCTTCTTCCCATAAAGCCATGTGAAAAAGCACATCCCTCATGAGCAGTCCTTTGTATGCAAGGAGAGCATACGTGAGAGCATCTCTCACCGGTTACAAGTCACTAAACAGAAGGTGTTAACTGGAAATAGCCAGGCATGAAAACATGGAAAAGATGGGCTTGGAGTTTGGGAAACCTGACTTCAGTCTTGACAACTGTCAGGTAATAACAAGGTGATTTTGGAAGGCAACCTCAGTGAGCTTTATTTTGCTTTCCTACAAAATGGTATTGTGGTGAAGATCATGTATGCAGGGAGTTTAATCCACAGAAAACACTCAAAATACACTTTCTATTATTTATCAGTATTAACTAAAGTTCTTAATTAATTCTTTACTAGAGATGGATACGGACTGGCTGAAGGATATGCTCTTAACCCACATCTCAGGAGATACCCAGCATGGTGCACATTCATAAGACTGACTTGTGTTAGGTAAGCCCTTGAGTTGACTAACATTGGCCACAGGAAATATAGCACCCATCCTGGCCTCATTAGAACAAGACTTAGATAAAGCCCTTGACTTAGGGTGACTCCTTCTGGGTCTGTCGTAGTTAAAGAGAATGGTAAGGAGGAGGAGAGACTGCTGACCTAATAAAGCTGGTTTTCTCAGGAAGAGCCTCACTGAAGTCCAATTCGAAGTGGTTGTACTGTTGTCATTTTTCATGCAACTTTCAACTTCAAAACAATTTTATTTTTAAATAGCTGCTGTTGGGTTTAGAAAGCCGCTCTTCCTGTCTGTAGCCAGTAGCTTCATGTTAAAACATCTGCCAATTACCTTTAACAGAGTTGTCAATTTTCAGGCACTGAGAATTCCAGTGTTCCAAAGAGCACTGTGACATCTGACTGCTTATGCACTAGGACTCTTCTGACTGACAGAGCATCTTTTATTGCAGACATGAGTCCATTGTAGGCACTTGTGTGACTGGGGCAGAACTGAAGAGCTCAGCTAATGCCATACCCCTGCACTGCTAACCTTCTAGACTGCTGCGACGAAAATATTTATTGATCCCTATACATCCAGACACTGTGATCATCCCAGGGTAAAATGATGAAAAGATACACACGGTCCATTGCTTCATGTTTTCAGAATCTAGAATTTTTAATTCAAATACAGACACCCAAGACCCAAATGCTTAGGATGTTGAGGGACTGTGGGAGAGACTTTGAACACAAATGCATTTGAAGATGGGGTCTAATTGAAAGTTGGTTTCATGTCTTCTCCACTAAAAACAAAAAACCTTTTATACATAAACATATGTTCCTACACACTCATATGCTCTGTACACACACACACACACACACACACACACACACACACACACATCCATGTGCCAACGTTGGCACTGTCAACATCTCAGAACTAAAGAAAAGAGACATCTCCACTTTGATGAACACAAATACCCACCTGCTTCTAAAAGGGTCCCAGAATTTTATGATGCCTGACTCTGCCACCGCTGAGTTAGCTCCCTCAAACCCAGAGTTTTCTGTAGACTTACTGGCCAATATGATGTCATAATGTAAACCATCTGCACCTCATCACACAGCTGACTTGTTATGCAGAAACATGTGAAACCCCACTGAACTATCAGTGGGATAAGTTAGCATTTTTCACAATGATTGTACAAACAGATCTAAATGGTCTGTTTCAGAAGATCTTGAGGCCTGAAGACGCTTCTGGATAGGCATTGTTAATAAATTGCATATTCTTCAGAAATGTGCTAGCCATGCTGGAGAGATGTCTCAGCAGTTAAAAGCACTGGCTCCTCACTTCCAGAGGACCCAGGTTCAATTCACGGCCACTCACTTGACAGCTCACAAGTGTCTGTGACTCTGCTTGCAGGAGATCTGAAGCCCTCTTCTGGTCTCCAGGGCACCAGGCTTACATGTGATACACAACACACAGACAAAACACCTATATGCACAAAGTGCAGATAAATAGAAGCTAGGTAACAAGGAGGACACTAAGAGGGTCGCGTGGATAGCCCCAGGAAGGGGAAATAGATGAGATCTCCTGGGTAAACTAGGGGTGGGGGAGCAGAGTGAAGGGGGTGGGATATGGGAACATGAGGAAATGGGATGGTCAAGTTGCGGTAGGGACAAAGGGGGAGAGTAAAGAAAGATGTATCTTGATGGAAGGAGCCATTATGGGTTTAGGGAGAAACCTGGTGCTAGGGAAATTCCCAGGAATCCACAAAAATGGCTCCAGCTAAGACTCCTAGCAATGGTGGAGTGGTGACTATCCTAACTGTCATCATAGTGCCCTCAACCAGTGATTGACAGAAGCAGATGCAAAGATCCACAGCCAAGCACCAAGCCAAGCTCTGGGAGTCCAGAGAGGGAGGAGGGATTATGGGGGGGGTCAAGATCATTAAGGGGAAACCCACAGAGACAGCTGCCCCAAGCTCATGGGAGCTCACAGATTCTAGTCCATCAACTAGACCCTCTGCACGTGAACTTCAGTTGTGTATAGCATGGTCTGTTTGAGTGGCACCTGATGGTGGGACCAGGATCTATCCCTGGTGCATGAGCTGGATTTGGAACCCATTCCCAATGGTAGGATGCCTTGTTCAACCTTGATGCAGTGGGGAAGGGCTTGGTCCTGCCTCAACTTAGTCCCAGGCTTTGTTGACTCCCCACGGAAGCCTTACCCTTTCTGAGGAATGGATGGGGGATGGATTGGGTGGGAGATAGAGGGGGTTGGGAGGAGTTGGAGGAGGAGAGGGAGGTAGGAAGAACTGTGGTTGATGTGTAAAACAAAAAAAGGTTTAATAATAAATTAATTAAAAAATAATTTGTAAAGCAAAGTGTGCTAGTTCTGATGCAGCTGGGTCAGTTCAAGGAATCAAGTGCAGGGTATTCTCTCTGACAACTCTGGAGCAGACATGCTTGCCCAACCCAAGAGCCCTACGTCATTAAGTCTGGATACAGCTTCCAGAGCCTTCTGCACCCAGCAACCCAGGAGGCTGGTGCAGTCATCTAACCTGAGGAAGGAGGAGAAGGCTGTCGTCCTGCAAGATCACCTTCTCCTCCCTCAAGCAGATTTTCAGGGACAAACCCTCCTATTTTCAAACAGCCCTTGAAGAAAATGAAATAGAGATGGCAGACTTTTCCATCTGCAGGCTTGGGCGAGTGGTTTGTTTTTAGAAATTTCTTCTTAGGATTACGACCATTTTCCTCCCACCTGACCTCTTCTGCGTCCATTTTGGAGGAAAGCACATCGTTTATCTTTGGGAGGCAGTTAATGCAGACACTGTCACTGAGTAGATTTCCCCCGGAGGATCAAAATATTTGTGTTAAATGAAATGAGAAACCTGCTAAGTGCCAGCACAGATCCTCCGGGAAAGGGTATTTTGTAATTTTGAAAAAATTCTACTGAAATTCTTCTCTTGCCAAGAAAAGAGGAATGATTTCTATTAAAATGACTTCATGTCTGAATTACTCTCTGCCCCTCGGGAGCACAGAACATTACAGCTTTCATACTTGGTAATTTAGAAGTACAGAGAACACCTTATTTGGAAAGCATGCAGACTTAACATGAAATGTTGGGTATTGAGTATTTTCCCCACAAAAGTCTGCTTTTGAAAATTTTGCATGTAAACTATTCAGATTAAAGCTAGCATCAGAGCTGGTGACTCCAGTTGTCTTCTTAAGTCCTTTTAACTTCCTAACCTGATGTCACCATTCCAGGAAGCTTGCAGGAAAAATCTTTGGATTGATGTCCAAGAGCTTCACCTTCCCCAGATGTTGCAATGGATGGCATCACTGGAATAAGGCTGCTGGGTGCTTTAAGGCAGGCTGGGCTTTAAGAAGCTATGTTCACACTTCCACATGTGTTAATTTAGGGGCTGACAATGGGCATTGGAAAGGCGTTAACAAA